ACCAATGACTCTCGCCGTATGAAAGCGATACTCTAACCGCTGAGTCAAGTAGGTCAAGCTGAGTCAAGTCAGAAAAAAGAAAATAGACCCCTATAAGAGAAAGCCGCGCAACCCGAGTTCCCCAACCTATACGAGGGGGGCGGAGCGCTAAGAAAGAGAAAGCGTTATCACTATACGAAATGAAGCAGCGGCTAGTACGCTAAGATCAACCAATGTTCGAACGTGGAGCCTTTCTTTCTCGGTCGTCTAGCTTAATCTTAATCTAAGTGGATTCCGATTCACGCGGTCGTTCTCTACTGCATTGGTGTTTTCACTCCCCACCATAAAAAAATGTTTCCACTATATATCTCAGGAGTAGTCAAAGGAAGCGGGTCCGAGTAAGAAAAAATGAACTAAGAACTAGGGCATACAACAATGGATCAATTCATTCAACAAGATCCGTTCGGATCGGACCAGGATGAATGGGATGGGTCTGACCTCTCGCTCGGATGTAAGACTCCCGCCGTCGACAGATGTCCCATGCCACGTTTCGTGAACAGCTATGCCCGAGAAAAAATTGTGATATAGCGCCGAATAAGCCACTGCTCTATTCCCGACTCGAAATCTATAAAGGACTTTAAGGGAGAGAAAAGAGGGGGCCCTACACCATACATCCTGCTGCCTTGGGACGACTGCACGTTACATCATAGCAGAACGACCAAATGAAGGCGGAAACCCCTTGTATAGGTTGGACGTTCCTGCGCACCCGGCATCCTGCAATAAAAAAAAGGCCCCTTACTATAGTATAGGGCGTTAGTGCTTTAGTTTTCAATAAGGACGGCTTGACTAATAACATAGAAAGGGCTTTTTCAGCTTACTCTGCTACAGCGGACCGTTAACAGGGTGGGTGCCGCGGTTTGTGGGCTTGAAGGACTTAGCGCCGTGACAAGTGGTATCAGAGCCAAGGGTTAGGCCAAACCATGGCTAGTGGGAAGAACCCGTAGGCTAGTGCCGTCGAAGAGGCTCGACGGAGATGGTTCGAATCAAGCGAAAGCAAAGGCATTCGTTGGCACCCGAGATGCTAAGGATCGAAGACTTTTTGGATATGGAGCGGCTTGTCGGACTACGTCCGAGGAGGCGTCGGTGAATACGGTTGCCATTGACAGAATCTCGGTGAAAAATAGAATATAACGACTAAGTAAAGAGTTTCGTCCTGGTTCGGAATCACAAGGCTGGGGCGGTTGCTGGGAAATAGCATCAGTAGTTCCACCCGGTTCTGATCGAGTAGGAAGCTAACATACGGTAATGGAAGGAGGTCTCTTCTTCCCTCTCTCCAAGCTAAGGTAAGGTCTCGCCAGTTAACTTACTCGGGTGCTTAGTCGACTCTTTGGCTTGCTTTCGAGAATCATCAATTGACGTTGACAAGAGTGCCATCCCATCCGAAACCTCCTTTGCAGAAGACGAGTGCCGCCCAGAAGACTAATTCGTTCTACTCTACTTCCTTTTCGTTGAGCTATTGACTCATGCCTTTCCTTAATCAGTTACTTGTCCCGCTACTATTGATTCAATTCCAAAGATGTAGGAAGTGTTACCTTACCCAGCGTCGAAGAAAAGTTCCCAGCCTTTCCTTAGGTCAATCCCTTCTCTTCCTCAAGCAGGGCATTCAGTTCAGCGCTACTCCCCTCTGAGAGTTCCAGCATTCAGCCTGTTCTATTCCAGAGCTATCACCGGCGACTTCATCTCTGCAACAAGGAAGAAACTCAAATTCCTCTCTTACCTTTCTACTCAAGGCATCAATTCCCTCCTGACGGCGAATAAATCCTCCATTGGATCCCTCGATTCGAAGGCAGCCCTTGGGCTAGGTTTTTATTATTCCCATAGCCTGTCGATGAATGGAGCTCCGCTCTTCCCCTATTGCACTTCATATCTCTTTCTCCTATGCCTATCTTCGTGGGCGAGCAAGATGACCCAATCACTTATACCTTCGATCAAAGGAATTGAATGAAAGGGGGAGGCGTGGGGAGTATCGATCTGGCAGAAGCATCAGTAGCAGTAGCCATAAGGAGCGAAATCTCGACGTTCGTAAGCGTGATTCTGACCTCCAGTGCATGGTCGCCCCGTAACACCCCTTCCGATTCGAGAACAAATAGCGTTCAAAGGCAGGATTCGAGGTTGATCTTTCCCCCGGCAGCAGACCCAGCTCTCAGATGTATCTATTGAAGCAGCACAAGCAGTTAGAGATGCAGTTCCATCAGTTCCGTAAAGATCGGACTTTCCCCTTGCGCCTGGTCGTTATTGCCTTGGCCTTCGTCTCTTTTGACGACCTAGTTACCTAATAACCTATTCTCCGGTCGGATTTTTAGTTAATTTTATTAAATTCGTATTATTAATCTCGGGCATTAGTCCTTTATAGTTTATGTGGTTGACAGCCCTCACCACTAATAGGAAAGGTCAAAGATCGGGCAGATCAGAATCAGTACATCTCAGTGGTTAGAGTAATAAGGAGGCAGGTACATTCGATGACAGATTCTAGAGGTGCCTATAAGGAAGTGGAAAACCTGGCGGACGCAGTCAAGTAAGGTCTCTTCGTGGAAGGAAGAATGGATGGTACCTATAACCAGACCCGTTCGAGTCTAGGCTATGGAGAAAAACTAGTGCTACAAAGGAACGACGGTTAAACTTAGAACTCTCTTCAATGCAAGGCGATAGTCCTACCTTGATGGCTGAACCCGGGTTGTCTTTCTTAACGGATTGAGTGTGTCACCTACTAGCAATGGAATATGCTTCACTCGCTCCCACCTTACTAAGCCGCTATCGGTGCAGGATCGAGCCTGGAAGATTCCCGTGTGTGTTGAAATCGCTCAACTCAACAAAGGCAGGAAAGGCGGGAAGAGAGATTTTCTCTAAAAAGTAGGGTTGGTTTTTCGACAGGGAACTTGATGGTCCTGCGTAGTACCCGTAGCTTATCCTCTATTTGTGACTTCGATGCTGTCATACATCGTGGGTCTACTTGCCTGCCTGAAAATGCTTTCAATTTGTCTTTTAGACGTCAACTTCATTTGCTCTTGCCTTGTTAATGGACGAGGAAGTGACATGACATATAAAGAATAGGAATCGGTTGTTAAGGACCTTCTTGCCCTAAGGCTTATGGAAATTAATGCTTTCAAGCGCTAGGCCAGGCCGAGATCAAATGTCATCTTAGTCAGATCCCACGAGCAGATGTTCTCGAATAGGCAGGCTGTGAGGCAACTATGGAATCCGCCTTCCCTGATTCCGATCCTGTTGATGTTTTGTCGGCATTAAGGCTGCTAGTGAAAGGAACTCACGATCTTGGCTTAGATGGTTTTGCTCCTGGGAACATCATTTTTCGATAGTAAAGGTACCCGAAGTTTCATGAACAGACCATTCTCAACATTCGCCGGAAAGATCCGAATAGAAGGAAAAAGAAAAGTGGGACAAAATTCCCGGTATGAATAAATATAAGTAACTAGCCATCCTTCTTTATTAAGTTAAGGCCCAAATAAATGCTGCCATATCTGATTTCCGACATTAAAGCATCTAATAGAAATGTACGAGGAGGAATCGAATGCGCTCTTTTGAGACAGCTTTCAATAGAACATAGAGCTCTGCCCTTCTGGCTGTCCTAACGAGGAAAGTCACTTCGTACCTTAAGACCTTAAACGGAAGAGTTAATCGTAGAGCAGGAAGAATTCTTGCTTTCTTTCTGTCCGCTAGTCAGGAATGGAATCGGACGCTACGAATACGAATTATTGAATGGGGGGAATTTTCTAATAATTATTAGACAAATAGGACACTAGAACGCAATTCTTCCTCCTTCCCCTTTTTCGACAGGGAATTCCAATTCGATAGATGATTGAAGGCAATTCATCCCAGGAGGAGGATTCCCACGGACTAAAAACTGTTAGATTCTTTTTCGGAAGAGCTGCTGTTCTCCTAGCTCCGGCGGAGCCCATTCCAATATGAACACTGGTCGGTGAATATTCTTACTGCCCGGTGCCCACCCTGACCTAAGCTTTAGGGAGACCTAAAGTCATTGGGATTAGAGGCTGATTTTGCCAATCACTACTACTCTGCTCTGGAACGCCGGAATTGAAAGCCGATGATCCACGGCATATGCATCTGATTCTGGTGAAGCTACAAGCCTCTTTATAGATAGGTCAGGCCTCCAACCAAGTCTAAGTGCTCCTATCTGTTCCTATTCTCTTTCCCTGAGGAGCCTCAGAGTGAGGGTGAGGGCTTAGTCCAGATTCAGCAGTGGTTTTGCTTTGCCAACTTGATTCTATTCCAATCTTGTCCCTTCCTACCTATCTATGGCTATGGTATGGGTCTTCTTTTGCCTCTTCTATTATCTTGGGATGGGAAAAACCTGATTATGGGTAAAAAAGGGGTGGGGCGGCAAGACCCGAGGAAACTACAATATACCTCGATTGAAAAACGGAAACAGTTCCACGGCGGGAGAGGTTGCATTCGATATTGATTCAGATCCGTTCTCTATACCGCAGGCTCCGAGGCACCAGACGCAGACGCTTAAGGAAGGCGCTCCGGGAAAAGGAAAGATCTTGACTTGATTTGCCGACAACTACTCTCTAGTTACGTCGGGTTCTCCTATGCTACCAATGGGCCCAAAAGGAGACGGGACCAAAAGGCACCATTTGCTTAAGCGAAAGCATCAACCTATTAGTATAACACTTCTGATTGAGTGGCAGAAAGAAAAAAGTCTTCTATTCTATATAAAGCAGGCTTTCCTGGGAGCTTCTTAAGGCAAGGAAGTAGCTATTAGGACATTTGATTGAATAGTTGACCCAGCTCCTTGTTGTTTGAAGAAACCCTCCATGGTATTTTTTCACGAAAAGCAAACATGAGATAACAAATCCAGTCTTTCACTAAGATTTCGAATAGCTGTCCCGAATTCAAGTTGATTATGTTTCGCCCCTTCCTCGGAGAAAGACGATCAAACAATTCCCAATCATGGTCCTTGCGGATCGGATCATCCATATAAT